TAAAAAAATAAGTTTTAGGTCAAAGGCTTCTCAAAACTACCGAAAAATAACGTCCCGGGCATCAGGCAGTGTAATTGTTTCACATAAAAACTTCCGGTGGAAGTAAGGTTTTAGAGGCGTTAAACTCTTCGGACGTCTGGTTCCTATCATCACCATTGTGAACAATTCTGATTTGGCAAGTTTCTCTAGAACTGAGCATTTCACATCAAACCACTCTGAATGACTTTGCTTACATCTTAATGATTTAATTATGCAGACATTTTTTTAAAATTGGTGGAATTCCCCTCTACTTTGATGAGTTTGATTCATAACCTTAGCCTTTGATTTGTAGCTAGTAACGCAAGATTCTCACAAATGTTTTGACTTCCTGTGTGTAAACTTTAGCGCGTCTGACTGACCTGTGCGCCACCTGATGTGGAAAGCGAATGTAAAGAACTTGTAAAGAAACACGTGTCAGTGCAGATGACCCATCGCTTCTGGACAGATTGATGGGAATCGTCTATAATCCTACAACCTGGACACATGTATGCACACACGAGCAGTGCAGGTTTGAATTCTTACGGGCCAGCAGTCTGGTCATGTGTCCACCATAGAAACCTGTGTAAGCAGTTAAAGCTGAGATTCGTCAGGATTCTTTAATAAAGATGTCTGATTAGGGCATCACTGCTCCAGGCTAGTAGCCTTAGTTAGATATTAACCCCTCTCTGCTAGAAGTGCGCGTGAGCAGGAGAGCCGAACACTTGAGAGATCAAAGGCCTCCAGACCAATAAGGAATTGATCCGAACACCATCACTGGACGGCGGCAGTCTCTCATCTTCATCTTCAGTAATTACAATAGACTACCAGGAGAACTCCGGATAGACGATTATTCAAGACTTTAACGCCGTATCGACTGATTTCTTCATGGTGACACGTTAGTTGTGCTAAAATTACAGATTGTTTTTCAACACCTTCCGGCAAAAAGAACAGCCCCTCAACACAGTCTTTCCTATTGTGTTATTTAGTGGCTGCATATTGAAGATCAGCATAGCATCGTTAATCGCAGTCCAACTTTGATGCTTTAAACAGATCTCCCAAACAGAAACCCAAATTAGCTTAAAGAAAGGGTAATTTATATATATATATATATATATATATATATATATATATATATATATATATATATATTAGCATGCAAAAATGTGAAAATCTAAATTACATAAAAAAGCTGTTTATCTGGCCAATATTTGCTTTGAAAATCACTAGTATTCTTAATAAACAATAAATAACAATACAAGAAGTAATGATTTTGTGTTAACCATTTATTTAAGTCCATTTATTTAAGTCCAGCATTGTTGTAATTATCATTCAATACTTAGTTTATATATATATAATATATATATATATATATATATATAATTCTAATTAGTCCAAACATTATTATACAGCTCACAATGACTCATTATTTATTATATTCTTTGTCAAAGCGCTTGCCTGAGTTGGTTAGAGTGGACGCTCGGCCCTTTGGTTGTTTTGTCCAGAACGTCAATATCGCTTTAGAACAACATCCTGATCTTGCTTAATTTTTGTTTGATTCGCAGTTCAATTTCTATCGATTGCTTACTCTGGGACACAGCACCATTTGCCTCGATCAGCTTTTACAGTGCGCCCCTCTCCTTCCTCTCGCTCGCTCTGCTGTCTGACGGTCTAGTGTTTCAGCCTATTCAGTCCGCAGAGGACTTCACCGTTTATCATACGCATCTCCCTCCTGTGCGCCTCACGACCCTTCTGAATTGGGCTTTCCAGTCTGTCATGATCCTTTAGGCTGTATGTTTGGTCGGAGGTTTTATTGTTTATTGTTGTTATCATTGTTCGGTTCTTGTGTTTGGGGCGTGTTAAGTAAAAATGTGTGATAAAAATAGGACAGTGTTTCAGGCTAATGTTTCATGTGGGCAGCCCTGATTAACGGATTTTCCCCCCTCCAGGTATTCGCCCTGTGCGGGATCCTTCTGCAGCAAGTCTCCAGTGGAAGGTTCTGCTGGTGAGTAGACTGAATGGAGTTTGTTTAACTGGGATGTAAAACTGGGTTGAGCCACTGAAGTAACTAAGTCACTGAAGCTGAGAGAGGAGCAGACTTGATCTTTGATCCGATGGAGGATTGAACGCGTGTCAAATGAAACCTCGCATCTTTATGTGATGAGATTGAAGAGATACAGAGTAAGTGCGCTGTGTTGGACTGTCTAATAGCTGAAATCAAGCGCTGCAACGAAAAGACACACAGGCACTTTTACTGTATGTTCATCCTGCACCAGCAGTGTCTGTACGGACATTAACGAGTTTCAGAAACACAGTTGATCCACATTATAGGCATTATTAGGCTTCGGAAACACTGTGGATCCACATTATGGGTATTATTAGGGTTTAGAAACATTGTGCATCCACATTAACAGGCATTATTAGGCTTCAGAAACACTGTGCATCCACATTAACAGGCATTATTAGGCTTCAGAAACACTGTGCATCCACATTAACAGGCATTATTAGGCTTCAGAAACACTGTGCATCTACATTAACAGGCATTATTAGGCTTCAGAAACACTGTGGATCCACATTATGGACACCATTAGGCTTCAGAAACACTGCTCCACTAGTTCAGTAGGTCTCTTTTGATTAGTCCAAGCACATAGCCTTCTGTAATTCGAAGTAGACCCATTAACCTTCACATCTGAATATTTAAAGCTTATTTGATCTAAAAATGGTTCATGATTTTATTAAGGGGTTGCACACAAAGAAAATATAGTACATCAACACAACTGCTTCCTTTAAGTTTTCTTGTTTTGGAAATTATTGTATTCATGCTGTACATTTTATTCATTGCAACCACTTAACTAATTTTATCATTGTAGTTCAATTCAAGCACGTGTTTTCAGTGTAAATGTTCTCTGAGCTTCTCTGAGAGCAGATCTGCAGAAATGTTTCAAATCGGTCCAATCGTGTGGCTGTATCTTTTCTTATCATATAAAATTCACTCTTTTGTTCACAGTGCGAATTTTAACGAAACAATAGAAAACCCGCTTTTTTATTATGGATAAAAGTATAAACATTGTAGGAATGTTTATAAGTAGCGTCTTATTAGTCAACTAAGGTGTAACTACGACATTTTATCGCCTCAGACCGTCAGACTTTCTCTGCTCATGTTAAATGTAGTTGTTGGAGGTGAATGGATGAAACTGGAGGAGTGAAAGGAGCAGTGTGTGTGTGTGTGTGTGTGTGGGGGGGGGGTGATCTTTCTGATCGAGTAAGGGATTAAAAGCTCTATCAGATCTCTGATCGCTCACTGATCTGAGGGAGCTGAAGCCTCTCCGCCGCGCGGGGTGAGAGCGAGCTGCGCGCGCTGGAATAGACTCAGTTTGTGAATGGCGGATATGTCCGGGTGATTTATCACCATATTACTTCAGCTAGAGTTCACCACGAGTTCAGGATCCTTTGTTCTTTCTTCAGAGTCGTCGCTTCTTTCCCTTTCTCTCGTTTCTTTTCCTATGCAGTCTCTTTTCCACTTGTCTCTTTCTCGGCTTCTGTCGACAGTCGTGAACGCAGTTGAAAATAAGACTACAGGAACATTTAAATACATAAATAAATCTGTATTAATCAAATTCGTTACAAAACGTACAAGAAGGTGAATTCTTTTTGTCTTATTTTCGTCGCTAAAAAAAGACAATCCTTCTTAAAAATACATGACACGGAGGTCTTCACATATATATACATATATATATATATACGATTATTTTGCATTTTACATTAATAGTTTGAGGCTGGTGTTCTGTTTTCCCTCTGTGTCATTTTTTTGCTCATTTTCATTTTATTTTTGATTCTTTTTTACCTCAGTCATGATTAAACGGTTCTTTGCGTGGTAAAATGGTTCCTCAGAACAGCATCGTAACAACAAAAAGGTGTCAAGCTTTTAACAATAGCAGAACCCGTTTTGGTGCTATATAGAACTATTTTCAAAAAAGTTATATGGAGCCATATATAACATTCTCCATCGACGTGAAGTATGATTTAACTTATTAAGCATGCAAATGGTTCTGAAATCTTGAGGAACCATTTTTAAATATATAGCTCATTTATTTATTTATTATACATGAGTGGGCTGAAATCTGGAATATGAACCACTCCATCTTTAAACATCCTAAAAAAAACATGACTGTTTTTGTCGTTTCCTGGCAGACCGTTTGTATTTACAGGCTACTTTTATTGTGGAAAATAAAAGCTGATTCCCAGCAAAAGTTAATAAACCAGTCTTTGCGCGTTTGTGAGATATTTTCGTTCAAAAGCTCCTGCTTTTGACAAGAAACACATATACTGGGTGTGTGTGGCGCACTTTCAGTGTTGCATGTTACACATGTTACAATTTCAGCATTGTTAAAAAACTGATGTTCAAACCTGTCTTGGCTTTAGGAAGTCAACTTCTAAATGGCAGAAAAATCCAGTCTCATCAAATACTACAGCTTTACAGCGGTCTGTGCTGTTATAGAGTCATATCTCTTATATCTGTGTAATTATATCTTCATCTGTTATTAGCACCACATAATAAAACACCGAGACTCAATATTATTCATAATTGCAAAAATAAAAAAAGTTCTGCACTGAATGTATTTGAGTCAAATGTGTACATCATTACCTCATTTACAAAATATATTACATAAACACATTTGTTACCAAAAGTGCTAAAACAGTGAGACAAAGTCGTGCTCAGTTAATATATGTTATTCATTTGGAACTGATGCACATTTGAATCAGTAAAAATTCAATGCATATTTTTTCTCCAGTGTAAATATCTCTTTTGCAGGAAAGACACGCTCCCTTCCATGAGCTCTTTCAGCTGTGCAGATGGATTTATGTCTCCTCATTCATACTGTGTGCTGCTCTGACCTTTTAGGTCGCCTGCCAAGAGGCCTCTGGAAGGAAGCTGTCACGTGACTTGAGATGCCAGTGTTTTGCCAGAAGCTCGAACAGCCGCGATGCAGCTAATGAAACCCTTCCAGACAATGCAGAACAAGTTATACAACATCAGCTCCAGCGCCTCGTTTCAGTGTGACGGCACGTTGGGACACCGTGACGCTCCCCGGGAAGACCACCGACAGAGGAATGTGTACTCATTACTGACCCTTGGAAACGACACCCCGATTCACCCAAAGAAGACCAGCGAGGACTGTACTCGGCTCAGCTTTCCCGGTGAATCTCATCACAGCTTTACAGCATCACCCCTCCATCTCCCTGCACCACCAGCACCACACAGCTCATCTCTGCACAGCGGCCACATCACCACTGCTTCAAAGTTCACCTTTACTTTTGATGGCAAGCAGGTCTTCCCCTGGATGACAGAGTCTAAGAGAAATTCCAAACAGAAAAGTCACAGCTTCTGCGATGCTTCTGGTAATGGTGGGTAAAGTTGCAGCTGGAAGTCACCATACATTAAGAACAGGCCTTGCATCATTACTCAACATTATTATACTCAACAATCACGCTTAAAGCCTTTAAAAGGACCTAAACACGTTGATCAGTAAACTGTCAGTGTAAATAAAGTTCTTTGGAGAAACGTGGAGGAACCACTTGAAGAATTGATTGCTTGAAGAATGTTTCAACGGATTTTTGAAGAGCCATTTAATCAGATGTGCGACGTGTGAATAACATTTAAAGTTTAAAGAACGTCCACATAGCGTGAAGTTTCTGCACTAATTAAAAAAAAACTAGAACCAAGCTAAGAACCATTTAGGGCGCTTCATTTCTGAGAGTCTATGCTGTTTTTAAGAAGAAAGAAAATACAGCATACATGCTTAAAAAGATGGTTCTACAAGGGTTCCTTAGTAAAGTCAATGGTTCTATTTAGAACCATGAGTTATATACAGAACAAATTCAAGTTTAAATGGTTCTTTGCATGGTGAAATGGTTCTTCAGATTGAGGGAGAATGTGTTGTAGTTCTATTAAGGACCTTTTTGAAAATGGTTCTATATTGTGTTAAAAGGGGTTCTGCCACTGTTGACATGATAAAAATGGCAGAGCCCTTTTTGGTGCCATAAAAGACCATTTAAAAAAAAGTATAGAACCATTTGCAACGTGATGGAGAGTCATTTCACCATGCAAATCATTTCAACTATAATAGTTCTAAATAGAACCATTGCCTTTGCTAAAGAACCCTCAAATGTACCATAAGTTCACACAACTGTTTGATCATTCATTCATTTGTTTGTTTGTTTGTTCGTTCGTTCGTTCGTTCCAGTGCTAATTAATGCGTTCTGCTCCTGTTCTGCAGGCTCCAAAAGGACTCGCACTGCGTACACCAGCGCCCAGTTGGTGGAGCTGGAGAAGGAGTTCCACTTCAGCCGCTACCTGTGCAGGCCTCGGCGCCTGGAGATGGCCAGCCTGCTGAACCTCAATGAGAGACAGATCAAGATCTGGTTCCAGAATCGAAGGATGAAACATAAAAAAGACAATAAGCTGAAAAGAAAGCCCCCCTCTCCCAACGCAAGCCCGCCCATTTCCCTGCGAACGAACGTTACTGATCCGCCTTCTGAGACTCTGAATTCTCAGCCTGTTAGCACTCCTCAGAGCCGTGTATCCACCATCAGCCAGGTTTTCCGAAACCACGTGGATTCTTGGTGTGACGCGCAGAGAAACAGATCTACAAATGACCCGTGCTCTCCATTTCTAAATGATGGTGATGGTGTTGTCTTCAGTGACCATGGCTGCTCCAGTTATGTGGAGGGTAACCAAGGGGATTTTATGACCTCCTGCGCGCCCCCAACGCACAGATTTACTCATTTTTCACACGTTTTGTCTCATAATAGAGTTGATCAGCACGAAAGTGGTCTGAATCGCAAGTCATGGTCCTCTACTCAGCCTGGTGAACAGTGAACACAGTGAACCAGTTTTAAAATATTTATAAAAACAGTTCTGTAAAAAAGTTCTGCTCAAATCAGTAAGCATTTTGATTTCGAGCTGTGTGTGTTTAAAACAATAGTTTCCCAACTTAACTACGACTAGGGATAACAGTTCAAAACGACAGTTTAAAGCTATTTTATTTATTCTTCAGCCTTTTGATTATCTTAATAATTTAATCAAACGTTTCGTTTAGTCTATTTTGTGTTTGTTTTTATTTTTTTTTTTGCAGCTTCTTGAAAATCCTTCAGCGCTCTGTCACTCAAAACCATCTGACTGTCACTTGAAAGATTGATTATCGTCCAGCAGGCTGTCTCTGTGCTTCCCTGTGAACAGACACCGTTTACTGCTTTTAGATTTGTACCTGTTTAAAGGAGATCTTTATCAGCTCTGTTAGATTAAACGTATTTTAATAAACAGCCTACAAATCCACGCTGAACATCATTTCATATGAACAAACACAAATATCTTGCATTAAGAGAATTCTCTTTCGGTTTGCTTACTTTTGGTAATAATTGCGCTGATGTACAATATTTTCTTTATGTGGAAATGATGCACATTTGAATCCAGCACGTTCAGTGTATCCCTCTGTTCAGTGGAGTCTGTGTCCGCGCTGTTTTCCTGTAGAATTGGCTGCAGAAGTGACTCAGACCGAAGAGAAAAAGGCCACATTTGTGTCTCTGTGTTGAGCTGGCCAGTTTTAATCCCTTACGCAGGCAACACCGCTCACGGAAAAGAAATGAAAAGTTAATCGCAGATCGAAAGAGTGCAATCTTCAAATCACAAGAGCAGCGATTTTAATTATAGCCGTAGTTTTAACTAGAGAATTTTAACCTAATAGTACCACGGAGCTTGCGAACTGTCTGTAGGTCAATAATAAGCAACTAAGCGTCTCTGGTACTAACTTAATTCAATTCAGTTCAACTTTGTCATTATACATTTAAACTGTAGCCTACAGTATAACAAAACACGCCCGGGCTGCCTCTGAAGCCTCTGATGCATAAACATTAAAAACAAGACAGGGACTTGAGTGCATGTGCATTAGATGGATGCCAGACAATAGGTATACACAAAATAAGTACAAAAAACAATAAATAGACAGTAAATACAGAGTTAACCAAAGTGTACTGGCACACAGTGTATATGTATGTGCAAAATGTGCAAAATATATGCGGCGATTTTTAGAGGTGGTGTTCAGTAAATAATGGTGTGCATGTTAGTTCAAGTGTTCAGTCCAAGCATATTCAAACCACGCTGGTCGTCTTGGCCAAAAAGACATGGACCTTGATTCATGTTGCGATTAAATAATCACTTTTTAAAATCGCAGTCACGATATCGATCTGAAAAAAAATGCCGACTCGTTCATACCGTATAGGCGCTGTATGCGCAAAAACGGTTACAACATCAACTCCTGTTTTCTATTAGTAACCGAACGTGACGTGTTTCACAAGTCTTTAGAAAACAGAGCATTACTGCAAAGCCAGACCACCTAAAGAAAGCGTCGTAAAGCCGTAAAGCTGTTCTATATTGCTGCGATAAGAGCGCTTCTCTTCAGGCGCGCCCTGTAAACGTGTGCTCTTATCTGACCGATGGGCTGGATGCCATTGATGTGTTTGTCATGTAAATGCGAGCCCTTTGATGGACACTCGCTACGCCCAAATTGCTGCTGTAGGTCGCACCCCATTGGCGTATTTTTGGTCACATGACCTGTCACTTGGTTGATATGTAGCCGGATGGAACTTTTTGAGATTTGACGTACTGCTCCGAGGTTGTAGGGCACCGGGGCACCGCTTGACCCCCATTTGAGTTAACTACCGCTGGACAATCATACAGAATGAATTCTTACTTAGATTACACGGTCTATAACCGCGGACCTAACCCGTTAAACGCCAAAGTTGGATGCTTCTCTTTGGATCAGGAGTACATGCAGGGCGCCTGTGCGAGCACCAACAGTTGTATAGCTGATGGGCGGCCGGTTGGAGGGACCTCGCTCACACCGGCGCTGCATGAAACTCAAGGCATGGGCTACGCGCATCAAGCGTCCCAGCCGTACCACATTAATCTGGATCTTGTTACAACGGGACAGGCCGGCTACGGCAAGCAGAGCCGCGCTCACTTGGACTATGGTCACCAGAGCATGCTCGGTCAAGGAGAAGACCACATGTATCTGCAGACCCCTGGCTTTCCTGTTGTAAGCATGGGACCCAGCAGTGGAACACCCGGCGAGGCCAACTGCAGGCCAGCAGCGCTCCCAGTGAGCCAATATCCTTCGTATCCCTACGGAGAGAGAGAGCAGCACAGCTATGGGGCGTACAGCAAATACAGCAGCCTGATCCCCCCCGACACCGACCCCAAGAAGAGCCCCAACCAAACACCAACTTTCGACTGGATGAAGGTGAAGAGGAATCCGCCCAAAACAGGTATGTTCCCCAAAGATCTCGCCTCACGGAGGCCTGAGTGGGACTCATATTTGGTGCGGGTTTGTACAATCGCATCTCCTTTCCTGCTTTAATGCTTGTTTTTCTTTTACAGTCAAGGTCGCTGAATACGGACTCCACGGCCAGCAGAACATGATCCGCACCAACTTCACCACGAAGCAGCTCACCGAGCTGGAGAAGGAGTTCCACTTCAACAAGTACCTCACCAGGGCGCGGAGAGTAGAAGTGGCCGCCACCCTCGAACTGAACGAAACGCAGGTCAAAATCTGGTTTCAGAATCGCAGAATGAAGCAGAAGAAACGCGAGAAAGAAGGAACCGTCCCGCTCATAAACCGCGTCGCCGACTCCGCCGCTGGCCAGAGCCCGAACACCTCCAGCACCTCGTCTCCAGCCGCCTCGCCAAGCTCGGACACTGCGGCCCCTAACTGACCACAGTGAACGTGGTTTATGCCTAATGACTGTCAGGGTGTTTTTTGTGCCAAACGAACTTTCCAGTTACATGTCCCACTTTTATTTCTAAGGACATCTACATAACTTATTGTTCATTCATGGACCAAATGTGAAACATCTCCTAGTTTTGCCAGTAAAACCATTTTGCAGACATTTCTGGCCTTTGATAAAGCATGTTGCTGCTTTAATTTCCCCCAAAAGCCCAAACATTTGGGTTTCTATTAATATGATTCATATGATCACACATTCAATTCAAGCTATGTAACTGTCTTCAGCCACTGAAGGCCAGTTTTAGAATTTGCACTAGAAATGTACTTCGGAGAAAAAGGGTTGTGTTGATATGTGCACAGTACTCATCTGTCCTGTGCAATAATAATAACTGAATAAAAGTTGCTTTATTTTTCTGAAATGAGTCTGTTATCTGTTATGTGTTGATTCTTTTTTCATTTCAAAGCTCTGATGTTCGTAAGTTCACATGCTTTGTTAAGGGACATTACAATACAATAGGGTTCATTTAAATCAGTGATACCCCAGTATGTATAGTTTGACAAGAGGAATGTTGCAGTACACACCGGGTGGCGTTCTATGACCTTTTCACCTCCCAGTACCTCCAGGCTTTCTAAACATGTAAACACTCCAGCCAGCTCACTTCCACAGCAGTGACTTCTTCTGCACTTCTGCTCACTTGTTACTGCACCATGATTTATGATCTGGGTGGAAGTTTCCTTTCCAATTTTCACAAATATCTGTCCAGAAAATATCATATGGGCAGAAATATATCATGATAAAATATTCTGGTTGTAAAGATGTTGTACATATAAATGTACACTGGGTAATGATTGTGGCCTGAATCTTGACCCAAAACAACTCTATTATAACAATATATTCTAGTATTTCTAAACCAAACAGAAATGCTCAATAAAAGCATAAAAGCACCCATGAAGTGCATTTGAAAAATTGTGCAGATGTGGTAATAGTTTTAAAATATTGGTTTCCCTTAACCACTTACATAAATAAAGCCTTTTTGAGATCCAAGTTTTAAACAACATCAAAGGAGAATTTGACTTTTGTTCAGAATTCAACATAATTCAGTGGCTAAGATGTAAAAAAAGTCATTTGAAGTGGTTTCATGTGAATCAGTTCATTGTAGAGAAACTTACCAGCTAATGTTTCTTTACAGTGGTGGTGATGTTAACCAGGGGTCATGATGTATACAATCCAAACATAGCCATTCCATTTACTCTCCAAAATGACCAGTGAACCTACTTGTTTTTTGAGTTTTTATGTGTGATGTTAACATTAGTAAAATAATGGTAATTCTGAAAGAGAAAAAAGTTTTCTATGCAGTAAAACAGTCCTGCATGTACATATTTGCCATGCATGCATTTAAAAAATATATTTAAGGCCAAAACTTTATCTCAAAATTATGGTAAAGCATCAGGCAACTTATTGGTTAATTATTTCATATAACAGCTTTCTATGAGGGAGCTTTTCAAAGCACTAAACTCTACAGGCGTCTGATTCCTATCACTCCTACTCTGAGAAATTCTGACTCTGTAGATTTCTCTGTAACAGTGCATTTCACATCAAACCACTCTGAATGACTTTGTTGACATCTTAACCCTTTAATTACACAGATATTTTGAAATATCTGAGGAATTCCTCTTTGAAGCAAAACTATTTGTAATTCACTATACTACTATATCACTATATTACTACCTATACTTTACTATATTAGCACTCCCTCCATTTGAGTGGACAAATTCTGAATCATTAATTAACTGCAATCCCCCCCCCGAGAAATTTCATGAGCACATTTATGACTGTAAATGAGTGTCCTTGCTGCACAATATCAACCACTGCAGCATCACATTCTATGAATTTTGTTCAACAGAAATAAAATGCCACCTCAGCAAATTGTCCGAATAAATGTACATTTAAGAATCTAAATACAGCCAGATCTTGGAGAGCCTCTTGGTCAGCTTCACCTCTACCTAAAAGTTTGCAGGGACTTGACAGCCCTGTTTCATTCCCCTGATCATCTGATGGACTGCTTCAATATTTACTCAGGGTGTTGGGTTTGCACAGTTCTTGCCCCGGCAGCACTGCACTGTCAGCACCCTCTCCACTGACCAGGTTCATCCAGAGTTCAGGCCCAAATTAATTCACTAAAGCCATGAGCCTGTCCAGCAAGAGAGGAGAAGGGTGCCCGACCAAAGGTCAGGGAAGGCTTAACCAACCCACAGCATTAGTTCCTCATCTAGTGTCAGTTAAATATACAACATTAACATAGATATCACATTTTAATTCTTCTAAGGTTGAGGATTCAGTCAATAGCAATGTAAGTTGAATATGTTTGTATATACTTTATCAATTAAACATAACAAAATGTTCAGAGAAAGGCTGTGCACACTGGAATTGCAATGTGGAATTTCCCACCAACGTACCATACTGTGTACCAAAATTCAGAGACCACCCCTAAATTAATTTCCAGTCAAAACGGCCAACTAGTAAAATTTATTAATTTTTCAGCATCAGAAAAAAAGCAGAAGCAGAAAATTACACAGAAACTTCAACAACTAAGTACAATTTGTTTTAGTATACAGTGTTTCTCTGCTTTGCTTTTATTACAGCTTCCATTCTTTTTGGGAGTTTAGTTTTCAGTTTTTCAAAGAAATCTAGAGGGATATTTTTTCATTCTTCAAAAGTTCAGTCTTAGAGGTTGGTTGAATTTTCTGTTTTTCTTATTTTGTCTTTGTCTTCTTCTTGACAGCCACACTTCCTTTCAGACCCATAGTGTTTTGTCGCATTCTCGCAGTTAAAGGATGGACAGAAACACTAGTTTTCTAATGGTGACAGGTTTGGTGGTCTACAAGGTCTTGCATGGTTGTAAGGTGTCCCATTCTCTAAATATCTTTTAATCACTTGTTGAACTCTAGTTTTGGAACCTCTTGTTTTTTCATTTATTTTCCTTTTACTTTTGAATTAAAACATAATACGAACAAAAAAGGAATAACTCGTGCATAATGTCTGCTTTAACTGGAAATAAATTAGGAGTGGTCTCTGACGCAGCAATATTTTTTTGTCAACTAATGTAAAATCTTGATATTGTTGGCAAAATGATGATTTTCCTTTGTTATCATTCAAAAGACCAGCTTTCATCTGAGATCATGTAAAAAATAATTGCTTCAGCTGCAGTTATCTCATTTTTTGCTTAGTGGTGGTAATTATGTTGATGTAGGTGCATTTGTTGGTCAGCTACAATTGGTGCAAGTGCAGGAAATGGTGTACGTGCTTCACTTTTACAACAAGCTCTAAGCTCTAATGCTTATAATTGCAGCATTTTTGTAGCGAATGTGGTCATTAGTATGTTTTCCCTGCCCTTTTGGATGGCTTAGCTCTGGGCTCCCACTGGGTCCCCATCTGCAGGCGTCAGAGCTGGAGCCACAGCCCTATGGAGACAGATGTTCAGCTTGCCTGCAGGAGGAGGATGTTTTTCACCAGCCTGTCAGCTTACAGGGAAACCTCAAGCTACAGTAAGTGGGGTGAGGGGAGATGAGAGGAGGACAGTGGGGAATAGAGACAAGGTTAAAACACAAAAATGTGTGTGAGGAACAGTAGTGAAGAATAATCGAGAGGCAGATAGGAACTTCTGTGGCTGCTACTACTAAATCATACATGTCAAAAGCTAGGGGTAGTTCTGAGCTGCTTCTTTTTTTGCTGCATCACCCCAAGAGGCAGCTGTAAGAGTGGTCTCAGTGCATACAAACCTTGCTTTCCTCCCTCCGCTGCTTGACCTCACCAGGTGAGTGAAGCAGCAAGTCTCGGCGTCCTCTGTGCCAGTGAGCCGTCATTCATCACCAGCACAGACAGCCCACTTTCCAGCTCTGCAAGACACCAGGGAGGTCAAGAGTCAAGATAGAGAGGCCACAGCAGAAGAAGTGTAAGTATGATGTATGGCTTTTGCGCGCTGCATACTGACAGGTGCATCATCTGCAGTGTGGAGTCAGGTCAGAGATCTTCTGCGTGTCTTCTCCCTCTCTCTCATGCTGAGTACGGTTGTCACAAGGGCTTTTACAAATCAAATGCTGGCCTGGCTTGACTTCCTGAGTCTTGTTCAAGTCCTTCTGAAGCATGTCACTCCACAGGGGTACCTGAGCTCAAAGGGATAAAAAGAGAACTGTATACACTATTCATTGGCTTTAAACAAGGGGGTCAGAGGGGCATTTTGTATGTCTCCTTGCTTTTCACAGACACTCTGCTAAGAGTAGGGCCAGAGGCCTCATGCAAATAGCCTCCACCCCTTGCTGGAAATAGGCATAACAGGAAGGTTTCCTCCTCCACTCTCCATAGTGTTCTTTCTCAGAGGACTACACAACCATCCCCCTCCCGATGACTCGTACCCATATCCCTATGGTACGCCTTCAATCCATTACCTTATTAGCTAGGTAACTGAGAAGGACATATAGATGCTTTCCCAAGGTTTCTGGGATTGCCTCCAAAATTGCATGAGATGCATAAAATAGACCACTGACAGCCCATCGTAAAGAGCAACACATAGGAGTCTGAAACATGACAAATGTTGCGTACTCAAACTGCATTCTGAGGCAGAAACCAGTCATGGAAGACAGAGAGACTTGTTTGTGTACAAATAGTTGTATAGTTTGTTTTAGATTGTTTTAAGTAAATATTTTTATTTCTAAGAGGCCAAGCAGCTTTTTGAAAAGCTTTTGAAGCCATTGTTGTGTTGTATTCAGATAAAAGACTTGTCATTTTAGAAGAATGTGCATGATAGCTCTGTATTATGTCAGTGTTTTGTGCCCTGCTGAAATTTTCTGAGCTAACATTAAGCCAGTGTTTTCCAGTAATACTTAGGTAGCCTAGCCATTAAACTTGGTAAACATTAGTGCTTTTTGAGCATAATTTCTATTAATCAAATGTCTATGTAATATATCACATTTTGGTATTGAAATTGCATATAGAATGTCACAGCTTTTCTAAAATAATTTTATCTAGGTTAAAATATGGTAACATTAGCACATAAACATGAAAATTTAGCCATTAGCTGTATCTTGGCAATGTCTTTATGTATTGCTACTTTCAAAGTGTATCTCAAATGCATTTCAATTACAGGTACTTTCATCAAAACGTTGTTTTCTAAAGCACTGATTTTTGAGACAACACATACAGCAAGGCATCGAGGCAGCCACCTTCAGTTTTGGACACAACCCTAATGTTGATAGTTGGCTTTACACTGTTCTGCTATCAGAACTGACAAGTCAAATGAACCAGTGGGAATGGAGGAGAACACTCTAGAACATTCTTACAATCAGACACTGGTATAGCACACCAACTCAACGTTTTGGTTCATTAGTGTTTGTTAAGGACATTGTCTTGATGTGTTCTGGGCTTTTCACATATGTTTGTAAGACCAGTGTTAGAAGATAAAAAGATGATTTGTAACATGTGACCATTAGGGCTGTTGAAGAATGTTACTGGACCTTCCCAAGGACAATCACTACTAGTCACTAAATGACCTTTCATGGATCAATCTAGTACATTTATGGATAATATATTCTGTCCAGAGGTTCAATAACTAGTTTATTCACAAGAATGTTTGGTGATTGGTACAGAGCAACCAATGCTCTCTTAGTAGCTTGGTTTAAAGAAGTCAATGGTGTGAAGTAGAGTGAGACAAATGAAAGGTGACAGATCATTTTATCAGTGACAGATTTACTGTCTCATTGGCTGGCTTTTCAGTCTCTTCTACTAAGCAATGAAAGCTACATGTTTGTTCAGACAGACATACCCTCCCTTTCTTCCATCCCACTAGTAGAATAAGGCTAAAACATTGCAGTGGAAATTGGGAAGAGTTTGTCAATAATCCACTTAATCTGACCATTTATAAGTGTGATCTCTGATAATATCATTTAAAAAGCCATTTAAAGCCATTTAAAGCCATTACCATATAAATGATCAAATAAATGGAGAAATCTCAAAGAGGCCAATTCTAAATTCTAAAAGTCAAAAATAAGAGAAAATCCAAAATTATGGATCACCTCTCCTTGCTCATTTTTGGAAATCAAATCATGTAGTTTACTTAATATGACTACTTTTTGACTCGTTTCCAGGCTTCCCATTTTGTCACATTACAGTCAACTTAAGGCCATATCTTACATTTTTCTTGTGTTTCATTTTTTCCCCACAAGATCCACTTATGGCTTTTTTTCTATCAAAATTTAATTGAATTAACTGAAATAAACAGGCTGTTTTTGTTACAGTGCCTTTAAAACTGACGTATGTAAATGACCTGCTCTGTACTGCACTTCATTCAAAAAGCAGTTTGGGATGGAACACTCCTTATAAGTTCTGTGTGATGGGGCGGGGCTAGACTTTTGTAGGTTGAATAGATGGATATATGTAAATGTATTAATGTTTGTCACATCACAAAGTAAATTAATTCACAGGTTAAATCCATTTATGAACTGTACTTAATAACTTTATATGTGACTTTATAACTTTATACATACAAACATATATTTTCTGTGATGTGGAAACTTTATACTGTCCTTTACACAGTGAACTATCACCACTATGGACTTAGGTCATATCATACAGATAGTTGCTTAGATATAGTACCTTCCTATGGGTGTTTATCCTGTGTGTCAGCTTTCCGCTGAAGACCTATTCTTCTCCTCAGTTCCCCTTATTTGGGGTTTGGGTGGTAGCTTATACTGATGCCTTGGAAATCCCATGGACAAACTGTCATCCTTCAGGAAATATTTACTACAGAACCTCTTAAACACCACCTCAAACATCTTCTTACTGGTGCCTGTAGATTTATCTGCAAGTGTGGGAGAGGAGGAGGTTAATTAGCAGCAAACAGCACACTGAGGTTCAAAAGGTCAAGCCAGTAGCAGAAATGAGCCTTGGGCTTTGAATGCATTCAATGGAATGATATGTATCTGTTCCTTTACTCTTTAGTCTGATTAAGCAAGCAATGAAAATGAGTTTATTGATAGTAATTGAGTCTCATCGAATGACGCTAACGTTAAACTCTGGAAGTGTCCCAGTGCCTTCAAACTGACCCCTGCTCTCCAGAGGAGTGCACTGCCTGTGTCTTACAGTGTGATTTTTGTGGAGGAGGGTGATTTACTCAGATGAGAGAGTGGTGCCCCTCCCCCAAGTGAAACGCAAATGAAAAGGAATGCCAAGATGAAAAAGCCTGCGTCTCTAGATAAGCGAAGAGAAGAAAGGAGCCAGCGAATGGCAAAAGAGCTCTCTTGGGGAGATGAGAGGTGCTGATGGCAGTGTTGGTGGTGGGAGATCATAGCAGGTTCCTCTCATCAGCCCGAGACTGTGTTTGATACTGGGTCTTTGTCACCCTTTCAGCTGTGTATTGTTGGGCGGTGTAATCCCGGGCAGATTACAAAGGCTTCTTCCTTTCATATGACTACGCCCAGCAGGCAGGAGGCAGTGCTCATGGAGGGCTGGGAGGCCTTGCTCATTCCTCCCTTTTACCTTCAACAGGGGCTGTAGCTACAGGGACAGAGAGGAAGAGGTCAAACGGTCATGTCCTCTTCTTGGAATGCTACCCCCTCTACTCAATTCAGATTTGTTTTTCTCCTGTTACCACCCTGTACCTGTCTAACACTGTTCCTGATAAGGAAACCTGGGCTACTTTTTTTAAACCGTTATCTGACTGCTGTGAGTTTGGTGTAAAAAAAGCTTCACAATGTGATTATGGTGTGAATATATTTATACATGATATATGACTGATAAGTGTGATGCTTGTATTTGAAATCTTGACCCGTTCTAGTTATCAGTAATAAACTTGTTTGCATCTGTAGTCAGGATTTTTGCTTAATTTACCCTTCTCAATTCATGAGTGGGAAAATATCATAGTTCCCAAAATATGTGAAATGTAATACATGTAATAAATCTACCAATTTAATGTACATTACAGTATAAGAGTCATGTAAAACGTCAGAGGGACACCTAATACAAAAAGATTGTATACTCTACAGCATTGAACATTACAAGAAGTACAAGAATTTAGGTTATTCTGAGGGTCACTCTTATATTTATGTTTAATTTCTCTTCTGAAAAGTAAAGATGTGATAAGAAATATAGTGTAGCTTGTATACAAAAAAACAAGATCTACCTATGCCAGACAAATGAAACCTCTTAGTATAATTAGAACACTGTGCACTTAATGATTGGAAAATTTAAAGGGGAAGTCCACTGATTCAAAATTTCTGCATAATTAAATGGTTGAGATGTAAACAAAGTCATTCAGAGTGGTTTAGAGTGAAGTGGTTTATTGTAGAGAAACTTACTGCCTAAGATTTCTTTACGGTGGTGGTGATAGGAACCAGGGGTGACATATTGTACATGTCTATGTGTCTTCTGAATTTTTATGTGTAATGTTCATAATAGTAAAATGGTGGAAAATCTTAAAATAAATAAATAAATAAATAAATAAATAAATAAATAAAATTTCTTTGGGTAGCACTTTGCCCTGCATGTACCTCTCCATCATGGATGGATTTAAAAAATACCCTTTAGGTTAAAACCTTCTCAGAACTATCCTAAACCAATGTTTCATGCATCAAGTAACATATTAACAGTAAACATTTCATGTAATAAGTTTCTGTGAGGGAGGTTTTAGAGGCATTAAGTGCTTCAGAAGCCTGGTTCCTATCACTATCACTGTAAAGAATTCTGAGTCGTTAAGTTGCTCTGCAATGCACCATTTCATATGAAACCACTCAGCGTGATTGTGTTTACATCTTGACTATTTTATTCTGAAAAAAAATTGTTTGAATTCTGTGCTACCAGCCCCAGTAGGAGTAGCCTACGAACAAAATTCATGATAAATTTACCTTTGGAATTTTCTCACCTGTAAATGACACTATTTTAACACTAGGCCCCACTCTTGTTCCACAGAATCCCACATTTGTTTAACCAAACTAGTTTCAGTTTCACAACATCGATAAAGTGCTGTGCTCTTCCTCTCACACTCTGTAGAAGAGTGTGTGGATGTCTGCTATCACTTCACTCTTAGAAGCAGTGAGCTACGTTAGTACCGGTGAGGTATGCTGTGGAGACAACATTCACACTCAGAGGCCCTGAACCTTTAATTTTTTTTATGCAAAGAAATATAAGAAGACAGGTCAAACTTTTCAGTGGAGGCTTACTTTCAGAGCACTAATGGGGACGATTTCTGAAGATATCAGGAGACTTCTAGCAGGTACTGGTATAAGTCACTTTAACAGTGTCTTGTGAATATGCTTTTGTCAGTTCAAAAAGAAAAATATTTAATCACAAAACTGTACTAGGGCTGGTTCAGCGACGCTTTTGATTTAAACTTCAATCATTAGGGACGGCTGAATACATTAATGCTTGGTGAATCAGTGAAAACATAAATTAAGGCAGGCTTTTATTTTTTGAGCATCGTAGAAATTTGATGTCTGCTTAACATTTCTCATTTGCTTTCATAACTCTAATAATCACACTTCCAAATTCCACAGATTTTTCAAAATTTCTGCACAATCTGTTTTTGAGAAACAAAGTCATTCAGAATGTTTTGATGTCAAATGCTTTTCTAGAGAAACTTATGGACTCAGATTTCTTTACAACGCTGGTGACAGACCCAAAGACCAGGGGCCATGATGTCTACAACACAAATATAGCCAGTTTATTTACTATCCAACACCACCAGTGAACCAACACGTGTCTTCAGAGTTCATGTATGTGTTGTTCATAGTGGTAAAATAGTGGTAAATCTGAAAGAGTAAGTTTTCTCTAAGTATTATTTTGCCTTAGAACTTCCTGAATGTAGTACTCTACACTCCACTTAAAATATGTGTTAGGATGAAACCTGAAAATCTCAAAATTTACCAAAAAATGTCTCAGATATCAGGCAGCACATTCATAACGATTTCAGGTAACAACTTTCTGTAAGGGAGCTTTAGAGACATTTAACTCTTTGTATGTCTGGTTCCTATCACCACCACTGTGAAAAATTCAGACTTAGTAAGTTTCTCTAGAAAAGATTGTTTCATATCAAACAACTCTGAATAACTTTGTTTACATCACAAGAATGCCATTTAGCAAAACAACTGAAAAATTGGTGGAATTGTCTTTTAAAATACATCTTAAACATCAGTGAAAAAAAGAGTGGTATAGAGCCTTGACATTATGCGGAGGTTCTTTGAACTTTAAAAATGTTCTTCTTTACATGTACAAAACTGGTTCTTTAGGAGCCATCCATTTAAATGTTCTTTAGGGGACAAAAAGTGGTTCTTCTATGTCATCTCCTTAAAAACGCTTCTTACAACCTAGTCTATAGCCAGTGTAATTACCATTAGTTTCTCACAGAACAAGATCAGGCTATATTATTCTGGATTTATTGTTAGTGTGTTGAGAGCAGATCAGATGAAAACATTTTGTACTACCTGCTTTTCCATGAGGGTTGCCACTTGTAGATTAACATCTTCATTTTTCACACACACACAAAAGAAGCCACTGTCAGTTGTGCGTACTGACATTTATAACATTTGCATGAACCGGCATTTGCAACTTGTTCTTTTGGAGAGTTTTTGCATATTTTTAAGAGATATCATTTGAAAGGGAACATGTTTGTACATAGAAAACACCACAACTCTGGATCTGAACTGTATTTTTCCAGTCATGCATGTTTCCATTCTCTAATATGATCAGTTAGGTTCAGTTTTGCTTCCTCAGTTGTTCAGTGAATGTGTATGAATGTGTGTACATGTATGACCTTTTATCAGATTGTGAGCTGTTTGTCTCAAGCATTCTGCAGGACGAGAACCTCAGTAAGCATGCTCACGAAGCAAGGGAAATTCTTCTGAACAACTTTCGAGTCGTCCACAACAAGTAAGAACTTTTAAGGCTTTCAGAATTTGAACAGCCACATCCTTAGTGACTATCAAATATTAATGGCCATATTGTAAAAAAAAAGCCTTTGTAGACACATTTTAAAATCTAATGTCATTTGTTTTGAACTCAAAATTTGAAGTCACAATTTAAAAATGTAAATTTATCAAATTAAGTATTTGAAATTTAGTTTAAAAATCAGCAGGCTAATTGGAACTTTTGAGAAAAGACAATGTTTAAATGAAATGTGTTGAACAATAACACAGGAAGTTCCCTTCTTGCTTTGTTCTTCTTGCACAGTGATAAGGCGTACGCTTGCTGCACCAGTTGTGCTTGTCGTTGTGGTTTTGTGGCGTGTGGTGATGAAATAAGGGGTTTTATAGAACAGCGGAAGCGTTTTACTTGTTTCCACTGTAGAATTTAGCAGCCTACTCAATAATCCACACTGGGAGAGCATTTACAGGTAGAATGCAATAATAGGTTTAAGTTAGTTTTAAAAGGCTGAGCTTAAGCTTTGCAAGTGACAGGAAATGACAATATTTATTGTGTTAAAAGGTGGGAATGGGTTTTATTTTAAGCATAAATAATTCATAGCTGAATTGCTAACACTTTACCTGAAGGGTGTCTACATAACACATTCATAACATCTTACATACACATTCCACAGCATGCTTATAAATGTTCAAATCAACATTCATAAGGTATACATGTTTTACATGACATTAATATGGACTACCATGTCATTGTACTCATATATATTTTTGAAAAAATAAAAGTCCCCATTTGTGTTTTGAAAATTAATAATATTTTCAGTGAAACTCCTCATTTCTGGACAGCCAAAACAAAAATTGCCCTGCCAGAAAGTGCTTTGACACATTTTTTGCCTAGACTTTCAACTTCCTTTGAATTGTTTTTTCTTAAAAAAATAATTTTACACTTTGTTATTCTTTCTTCGTTTTACTCTATGTCTTCTTAAAATTTTAAAAGTGCTAGCATTTAAACCAAAGACAGTTCACTAAACTTAAATAACATTTTCTTCATAAATTTATAGACTCCTGGGTTAACCTTCTGTACAATCAAACTTTAAAGAATACAGAAAGTATAAAGGAGAAAGAATAACAAAGTGTAAAATTTACAACTGCTTAGGAAAAAACAAATAAATAAAAAAGTTGAAACTTCTAGGCAAAAAGTGCCTTTTGCACTTTGTTTTCAAAGGGGTCAGGTCTTTTTTATTGTGGCTGTCTGGAAATGAGGAGTTTCACTGAAAATAATATAGTTTTTCAAAATAAAAAAGGGCTCTTTTATTTTGAAAAATTTATCTGAGTCAAGTGTCATAGTAGTCCATATTAATATCATGTAAAACATGTATACTTTATGAATGTTTATTTAAACATTCATGAACCTATTATGAAGTATTTATGTAAGATGTTATGAATGTGTTATGTAGAATCATTACTTGAAAATCAAATATGCTCACTGTTGTGTCTCAAGTAACATCTTTTGTCAAATGCATAAAAAGTAATGAAAATATTTGGTCAACTGATTGTAACCATCCTCCAATAAGAAATAGCATCAGAGGCACATTTGAAAGTAGTTCAGCAGTGTGTAATTTAAAAGGCTCATGATGCTAACTTTAATTTCTTTTTGAGTAGATCTCTTTATCTCATCTCTTTATAATTCTGTTTAAATCTATCTTTGCAGAAATCCAGAGGAATTCCCTTACAGTAAGTGAACACTTGTTGTTGTTTTTGTTTTACTGGCTTTTTTTGTTCCATTGGCTTTGGCAGACAGATCAGTCACCAGTGTTGGGGGTGATGTGATATGAAATGACACATAGCAGTAGTGAAATTACTTTTTTTCTGTACCAAAATAATGTAAAATATTGCAGTTTAAATTCTTGTAATCACATTACAGTTACTAACGTATGAAGAACTATGCTACATATAGTGGCTAAAGATCGCTGTGCTGAAGAAGAGAAGAGCCCCAACCTGTTTCTGTTTCTTTGTTTTGAAACAGCATTAGTTCATTATAATTTTAATCATGCAGATGTCTTATTCAAAGGCAGGGATAGTGACATTTATCATTTACAAATGACATTTATAAATATTGGACTTTCCCTTGTACTTTCCAGTTGGTACATTTTCCAGGTAGCATTAACTAAACTAATTCCATTACAGTTTGAAAGACGTAATCTGAAATTTGTAATTGAATACTTTTTTGTATAACTCAACACTATCAGTCAGTGTAATGTACAGGGTTTCTTGATGAGAACATTTTTTTTTTGTATATTTTATTTACCTCCATCATTAATCTTCGTGCTCATCAAGCTCAGTGTCCAAATATTCACAGAATATTTCATTTGTCCAACATTTATATTAATTTATTCAGTGGACACTCTTTTCCAGAAAAGCTTACAAAATGTGCAAACAGTTTATGATTTAAAAGACAGCAGCCCTATCACAGCAATGTCCAGTTAAATAAATACAAGTGTAAACACTAACTCTGCTTACAGCTTTTATTTATTTATTCTTTTTTCTCCTGTAGCTGGAGGGGAGGACAGTTCAGATGACAACCACAGCTCTAGCCTGGGACGTTCTGCCCCTTCTGATGATCTGTCTGTGGCTTCAGACTATCAGGAGGACACTGCACCTGAATGTGAGTCCAGACCTCCTCATGTTGAGTGTGTTCTTTTGAGTGTGATGTAAAAGCTTGTACCTGTGCCAAATACCATCTTCCACTGATTCCTTTCTTTGGATTTCAAGCTTCAGTCCTACAATGCTTGACCACAGAGGAGTGTAGCAACTAGTAACATTTACACACTAGCTGTGCAGATGACCCTTCACCTATAAAATTTCCTGACAAAACAGCCATTAATACAAGTTATTAATTTTTCAGGAGATATTTCTGAGAAAATTAGATACAAGATCATCCACTTGTGTAAAGAAGAGGAAAGTCAAAGGAAAATAAGCTCCAAAATATAACTTTAAAGCAGTTAAAAATTTGTAAATGATACAGAGGAAATGTGAGTCCTAACAACCATACAATACCTAACAGACCATCAAAACTGTCACCATCAGAAAAACAACACTTAAAGCTTTCATCTTTGAGAAACAGAAGAAAATCGAGATCCACTCTTGAAAATTATATACCTTTTAATTAAAAAGTCAAAGGAAATTCAAAAACAGAAGTTTCCAAAGCTAGAGTTAAACAAATGACTAAAGGATGTAGAGAGAATGGGACTCCTAACAACCATACAGGACTTTGTAGACTACCAAAACTGTTGGAAAATTAGTGCTTAAAGCTAGAGTTTCAGTCCATCCTTCCACTGTAAGAAGACAATGCTATGAGCCTGTAAGGTTGTGTAGCTGCCAAGAAACCCTTACTGAGAAAATAAAACAGACAAAAGGAAAGTTACAAATCAATCACAGAAGCTGTTGATGTTCTCAGAAAAATGACTGGCCACATCAGAGTCCAGACCTCAACATTACTGAATGTGTTTGGGATTATTTGGATCACGAGTAAGACTAACAAAGACTAAACTTCAGAGGTGTGGAGATGTCCCTGCAGATTTCTGACTGAACTGAATTTCTGATGTCCTAAAAAGAATGGGAGCTGTAATATAGGCAAAGGGTGAACACACTACATATTTATGATATTATATTTAGTTGTTGAGGCTTCTGTGTAATTTTCTGTTAAGCATGTGTTTTCTGCTCTTCTGGCACTGAAAAATTAATAACTTGTACATAATGGCTGTATTAACTACAAATTAAATAAACGAGGGCTGGTCTCTGACTTTTGCAGTGCTGTACATGTAGTCAAGTAACATTTGGTTGAATTTCCACTTCTCTGCGCATTTTCAAATTCTGAAAATGTTACTTCTTATGTTCATTTGTGAGAAAGGGAATCAGCTTTTTACTCAGTTACACTATAATCATGAATATTTTGTAGCTAATTCTTTTTTATGCTGGTACATCTGCACTGCTTTCTGATTGGTCACACTTCTGACCTTTAGGGTTCTTTTAAAAGGAGAAGAAAATATGTTAACTTCAGTTCCTGTACTGACAGATGCTGAGGTTTCTAAGCAGTTCAGTTGCAGTTCTGTAGAGAGCTCAGTGCTTAAAGGGGAATTCCACTAATTTCTGTACATAGTTCAATTGTCGAGATATTTACTAAGTCATTCAGAATGGTTTGCTTTGAAATGCTTCATTGTAAAGAAACCTACTGACTTGGACTTCTTTACAGTGGTGGTGATAGGAACCAAGAGTTGCAAAGTTTACAGTGCAAATATAATGATTTTATTCACAATTCAAAACCACCAGTTAACCTACATGAGTCTTCTGAGTCTTTCAACAATAATAACAATAATATAACAATAATGATGCTAAAATAGAGGTAAGTCCAGAAAAATCATGAGTTTTATTGGAGACTATTTTGCCTCAAAGTGCATGTATATCTCTGCCATGAGTGTATTAAAAATTTGATTTAAGCCAAAAAAGATTGTTGCAAAACTATGCCTCAGACATCAGAACCATTTCTTGTAATGAATTTCTGTGAAGTAGCTTTTACAAGCAACAAACTCTTCAGACGTCTGGTTCCTATCAGAACTTCTCTGACCATTTTTGACTCGTCAAGCTCTTCTACAACCGAACATTTCACACCAAACCACTCTGGATGACTTTGTTTACATCAACGCTTGACCTTTGCCCAAGTTTAGAAAAATTGGTGGAATTCCCCTTTAACCTGGTACTTGACCTGGTACTTTTATATCTCTTTTTAAGGAGTCACTTTTTTAAAGGATGCTTTTGCTGTTATGTAAGGCCATTTCCTCTCAGACACTTTTACTTGACAGTTGTAGGCTATTCACCCACCTCTGCTTGAAAGAGTTTTCGAAACATGTCATGCAGTGGTGTTTACACAGAGCACACAAGAGCAAATCAGTGTGATTACAGTAGCAGCTGTTGAAGTAGTATGAGAACTGGATTAGCAGTAAACAGGTCAAGTTAAAGGTTATGCTATTCATTTAGCTGCCCTTTCTGATATGCATGTATGTAGTAAGCTGTATATGCAATCAAGTCATTTGAGAGTAAGCATGCAAGATGTACCTAGCCTCTTTAGCACATTAGGGAGCATTATCTTTGAAGGATGTGGGGGTTTTATTGGGCAGAGTGATGATAAACTACAGTGTGGTGGAGGTGTTTGGTAACAGATCACCCTCTAGTGGATTCCCACGCCTGTGCTGTGTGCCAGTGGGATGTGGAGAAGGAGAAGTGGGGGAGGAGGAGTGGGTGGCTGTCACTGTTGGCTGGGTAGCTTCAACAGAAAAGGAATGAAGAGCATCCTCTAGTGGACGAAAAACTGAAATGCTGTCATTGATGACCTCTGTCTGGCTCTGGAGGGTCCTTATGGCTTTCCAGTGGTATGCTGCTGGTGCTTTGGTGTTTGCCTATGGGTTTGCATATACAGGTTTATTCAAATGTTTGGGCACCCCCGGTTAAATGACTTATTTTGTTGTCTTCTTTTACACATCCTCTACACACTTCTGCACATTTTAATGCACAATTACTGTTTATTTGATGAATTTCACATACTGGAAAGAAAAATAAAACCTAAAATGTGGCCTGTGCAAAAGTTATAGTACATTTTATATTTTTTTCCCAACAAGTTAAACTTGACAATTAAACAGGTATTAATTAAACTAAAACTAAACTAAAATGTATTTAGAATACAATGCTGTTACATTAAATTTGCATTAAAAGTAAAGCATGTTTTCCTTCTCCTGTAAAGTTACCAAAGTTTTGTCACAACAACATATTGACAAACATAATAAACATGACCCAAGGTGCAAATGGAGAAGGTACTAATGAGTAACATGGTGAGGGAAGATGTAAAGCAGAGTGCAAAAGGCCGGGGTGCTTTATCTGTGCACAGTCTGGTGCGCTGACTGGTTTCTATCAGCAGAAACCAGTTTACAGAGAGGCTACGCTGGCTGTTGCTCCAGGCCAGAGCCATGACTGATCGTCGTCCCTATAGTTTCTCTCTTAGCAGCTGGGCCTGAAACACAAGCTTGTACCTGAGGGGCTGTGTCTGCTCCCCTCTCCACTGATCACTTATCTGCCACTGCAAGGCTTTTTTTTGGGGGGGTGAAGAGATTGCAGGTTTATAAAGCAGAGACATTCACTCCACCAGTGTCAAATTACAAAAAAAAGTTCAATTTGTATCCAGACGCCTGACATGGCAAATATTTTCAAACAGTTTTTGATTTCAGAACGGAAAAATGAGAGAAAGTAGGATGATGGTCCTTCAAAAGAAATCAGCTGCATGATCGAAGGGTCATACTAATCTGTACTCAGGTAGTAAATGTGGGGTAAAGACCCCCTTCCATGTAGTTAATTATAATATTGGAGATTTTAATTTTACAAATTATAATTTTACTCAGGTATGTTCTTCATCTATTTTTACCCAGTTACATTTTAGTCATTAACATTGAGTTACTAATTCCTTTTTGTGCATCGTGATTGGACTTTTGGGGTTTCATTTTAGACCATCAAAAAGAGAACAGCGGCAAAAACATTCATAGACACTGAATGTGCTAAGTTGTGCTGCACTTCTGTAAATCACTCTGTACTTAGGTAGTGTTAATAACCTGCTACTTTTGAACTTCAGATCAGCTTTTACCATTATCATTTATCATTATTTCACTGTAAGAACAATGCCTTCACTGAAATATGTTTTTATAAGCTATATCTGTTTAAAAGTATCTCTTTGCACAGTAATATGATGCTGTATCACCCAGGTGAGCATTATTTTTTCAACACATTCATTTGGTTCCTTTAAAATGTAGAAAAAAGTGTCAAAACTGTGTGTTCTTTTGATATGGCTGCAAAAAAAAGGAGCAGTGTAAGTCAAAGGTGGTAGCTTGTGTGGGGATTCACATCATGTCACTCTTTTAATAAAGATAATGACCGAAGGGGGCAAGTGCAGTTCAGGGTTCATGTTTAGTTCACCAATGTGGAATCTCACGCCGGGACCTTTGAGAAAATGTTTATGGACGTTTCGGAATTTGAAAAGCAGAGATGAATATAGTTATGGAAATCATGTTCATTCGCTTAAATGAGGGACTTCTTGGGCTTTTCAGTATTCAAATTCATTCATTTTCTTACCCATTTCAGACAGACCATGCTGAGAGCTCCCTCTGGAATAAAAGCTTGTTTTTTTTTGGGGCTTGATTGAGAGAAAAATAAATAAATAAAAACATAAATATGGTTTGATATCGCTGTATGTGATTTGAAGGACTCGATTGAGTCGATAATCTCCCAGGCTTATACATTCAGAGTAAGTCTATGATAATGCAGGGTAAATTTAGTTCAGACATTCTTTGACAGTGCTGTGATGTCACTGTGCCGCTTGTTTGAGCAGGAAGTTGAGTTTGTCTCTCTACTCTGAGCAGAGGACGAGGGCGCTCGGCTGGCTGGCAGGGGGAGTCAGTGTGATTTCATTTAGCAAGGACTGCCTCCTCATCTCCAGAGAGAGCAGCCTGACACCAGATTTGTTATGGCTGACAGGAACAGATGGGCGCTCCATTGTCAGGGCCCCTGTCTGTATGGTAATGTGAACTGAGTTTCACCCGCAGACCGCACAGTTGACCCGGCCGTGCC